GATGGTCTTGCCTCTCCTGGTAGTCTCCTCACTCGTTGTGGATCGGTTGGTGGAAAGAGATGGAAGAGTGGGGTGTTTCCAGATTCAGGGAACTCCTCCTTGTCTGTGCGTGTCTACCCCAAGCCGGCAGGCACAGGTGTGGGGGTGGGGTGGGGGGGTGGTCGGGGTGAGTGATGGTTTGGATGGGGGTTTGGTAAGGGCATAGGCTCACTTACTTCTTTCCTGGGTCGGTCGGCTTAAAGGGATGGAAGAGTGGGGTGCTACCAGATTCAGGGAGCAGGGAGCTCCTCCCTGCCTGGGTGTGTCTACTCCAAGCCAGCAGGCGCAGGTGGGGGGGAGGGTAGTAGGGGTTGGGGCGTGTGGTCGGGATGAGTGATGTTTTGGGCGGGAGTTGGGTAAGGGCAGAGACTCACTCACCTAGTTCCTGGGTTGGTCGGCGGAAAGGGATCCAGATAATATTTTTTAAGCCACATAAAAGATACTCTTTTTGTTTTATGATTTCTTCATATTGTATATACTCTTACATGGGGAAAAATAGGTGTATTTGCTTATTCATTTCTACATGAAGTCCAGTTTTAATTACAGTAGCTGTATTTTTATTTTAGTTATGGTAAAATTTATTTACATTCTTTCACTCCCAATTTGTCTTTCTGTTGTTTTTTTCTTCTAAAAGAATTTTTGCATAAAGTATAAGGGACCATCCTTTTAAAAAAGCAATTCAGTTAAGAATTGCTTTTATTTGCATTTCATTGAATTTTTAATTTGGTGAAAATTTTATACATTTAAATTATTATGGTCCTACCCAGAGAAATGCGGCAGTCTCCATTAAGTCAGATCTTATTTTATGCACTCAAGGGAAACTTCCACTTTGTTTCTCACAGAAATCTCAGCAATTTTGTGGTTTCCTTCTTTTCAGCTCTCAGTCTTGTATAATTCCTGTCTACTTATTGCAGGTTTGGATTGGAGGGGGACAGTCTATTGGTTCTAAAAGCTGGAAAATAAACCATGGAGGGGTTTTTATGAAAATCAAGTTCCTTTGATTTTCATCCTGCTTATCGTCTCCCTTCCTGCTTCATTGCTGTCATTTGTGTTTCCCTGTTTTCTTTCATTGTAATAATAGCGAGGAAAGGCAAATGGATACGCCCATCTTGACATCTCAATCTTAAGAGTGCAGATGATGTTTAGTGTTTGAAAAGTCTAATATATTTCCATAATTGTCTTCCAGAAATATTATTAAAGAGTAACTATGAAAAATAAGATATTACTATATACATGCTTATTAATGTTTTAAATTTAAATTATAGCTTGAAAGTGAAAAGTATGAATTGCAATCTAAAATATTAATAATGAAAGAAACAGTAGAGTCATTAGAGAACAAATCAAAACTCCAAGTTCAGAAGCTTAGCCACATGACTGGAGACTCATCCCATCAGAAAACCGAGATGAACTCCCTTAGGTAAGTCTGTTAAAGATTTCATTACTTCACCTCTGGACATGCTTCTTCTGGTTATGTAGTTCATAACCATGGCATTCTGCTCTGTGTCTTTGAACAGTAGTTTCCCAAGTTGGCCTCATAGCTCAGTCTTCCTGGAGTCTTTAGGAAGGATGGAGGGAGGTCTGGAGGTCTGACTTTAGTGAGTGCATCTGGAGAGAGCTGGGTGTCCGTAGTTCTGAACCTTTCACAAGTTGATGTGACTCCAGAAGTTCTCTATACCTTATTAGTAAATACTCAGATGCTGTGCTCTGTAGGGAAGGGCTGCTGGCTGGGCTCTTAGAACCTCCTCTACATGGGCCATTTCCTCCTTTTTCTCTCCTCTTTTAAAATAATAGAAATTCCAATGTTTTATGCCCTTTTTTTTTAACCCTTTCTGATTTAGAAAATGAAGAATTAGCCAAGGGGTAGGAAAGCTAACTCTGATAGCACATAGAACATGGATTTGGTGTCTTAGAGATGAGCAATAAGCAACAAAGGTCATGGGTCAGCATTGACACAGTAGCAATGAACTTTGAGGGCAAAAGGCAAATTTAAGAAAGGTCTCTTTCATAAAATCAAAAGGTGATGTATATGGGAATATAGTAGTACAGTAATCCATAATGTATACATTCGTTAGCCATTTGTCAGTTTCAAGTACATAAAACTTAAAAAATAAAAGCTAGCAGTGTTAGCCCCCACATTGTCAAGCTACCATAAGCATAAATAAATAAATACAATAAAAGGTAACTGAAGGTTGGGAGAAAGGCTCGACTCTGAAGAGTCGGGGAATCTCTTTGTCTTAGTTGTATCTACCATAAAAAATAGGAAGAAATATTTCATTTGTCAACAGATTTTTATCTATGAAACTCAGTAATGAAGCAGTAACTGCGACCAGAAGAGAATGGTAGCCATGATGATTTTTAAAAGACTGATTAAATTACCACGGGAAGGTTATTGAGAAGTAACTAGATTGGCTACTGTAGAAAATTGAATTGGCCAAATAATGAGTTCAAGAATTTCACCTACAATTCAGAAAGACAAAGAGATGATGAACATAAAACAGACCCTGTATACAAAACCAGAAGTCTCAACAAGATAGTAGAAGACTAGAAAGAGACTATCTCTAAGAACAGTGTATCTTGCACATTCTATTGGTAAACATTGATAAAAACTCATTTAAGCTATCAGGTCTAAATTCAGCACCAAACCACAAGTAAAGCCTTTAGAGGAGTGGAAGCACGTTGTCGAACCTTGTGCCATTTTCAATGTAGTCTATAGATTACATGGTGTCCAATGCAAGAAGCTCGTCCTCAGGCAGATGAGGTACATGCTCCTTTGTACCCCCTGGGCCATCTTCTGTGTTAGGAATTGTCTTCGCCAAATTTCCATGCTTCAAACAGGCCTCCTGGATCAGGCACAACTCTCATTGTAGAAATAGAGGGTCTTTGGTCTGGCTTCTGGGTGTAGCATCAGAAGACAGTATTAAAACAGCAGTTTTGAAAATGTTAATGACTCTATCTCTCTTGTACCGCAGTATTCAATGGTCTAGCACTTTATAGTCTAACCCTAACTTCCTCAGTATAATAAGGAAATGTCTGTGTGCTGGGATGATGGCAGCTGATGCCTCCACATGCTAGCCAGAGCCAGGGTTGGCAAGCTTACTGTCAGTGCTCAGTATTTTAGCCTGTGTGGCCCATTCAGTTTCTTCTTACCTTTAAAAACCAGCTTCAGACATGCAAAAATCACTGTAAGCCAAGTGAATGAGCATGGTTCTGTTCCAATACAGTTTTATTTGGATTTCATTTAATTTTCATGTCACAAAATGTTTTCCTGTGAAAATCTTTTTCACTTACTTAAACATTTAAACTCTTTGCAGCTAGAAAGAAATAATAGGAGATTGCTTGTCAACCCTTGATCAAGGCTTATAAACTGTTTTCCAGCCCATTCAGCCAACTCTCTTTTTCTCCATCACTCCATAGCACTTTGTAACTGCTGACAAACAGTGACACAGCTGAAAGTTGTCATATTGGTCTCAAGTCACTTTAATTTATTGTGTGGGTTTTCACTTTTGCCCAGACTTGACCTCAAGCCAGTGCTCCTCCCATTTAACTAGTTTAGAATCCTGTGCTCAAGTGCTCCTCCCACTTAACATGGAATCCTATGCTCAAGTGCTCTTCCCATTTAACATAGAATCCTGTGCTCAAGTGCTCCTCCAATTAACTAATCTGGAATCCTGTGCTCAAGTGTTCCTCCCATTTAACATAGAATCCTGGAACTATAAGCCTTCAGCTTAGCCCTCTGCTGCTTTAGCCTTCCATGTATCAATAAAGTCAGGAGTGTCACATGTTTATTTAGGATGGAAAACATGCTAGAGCAGAATTTCCTGGAAATGACCCAAGAACTCTAGGTGGATCTATGATTATACCATTAGGTGTCAGCTGTTTTACTCAGATTTATTTAGATATATTAGGAAATATGTAAATATATTAAAAATGTTAGATTCAGAAATATTAGGTGTATTTAGCTATATACAGCTAGTTTCTCTGAGAAATGTTTGCTAAGGAATTAAGAATCATTTTAGATAAGGGAAAGAAGAGTCATAAGCTGTGCCAGATGCCGAAACTGTCTTAGGGGCAACCCTACTTAGCACTGAGAACAAGAGTGTTGCTACTGAATGACAGCAGCTGAGCTTGTGGAGCTGATGCTAAAATTGTTCCATCCCTCTTCCTTTTCTGGTGTACCATGTGATGCTATTCCCAGCCTTCATAATGGGCTGGAACCTTGGGCTCATAGGAGAGCCTCCAAGAAAACTCCCCAGTAGTGTTCCTGTAATAGGCCATTGGATTTCCAAACCTACCTCTCTTAGATGGAACTTCATTTTAGAATTTGAAACATTTATTATGGATGAAGGAACCTTTAAGAGATGTCTTAGATATATTATATCATGTAAGGAAATTATGAATTTTGTCCCATAAACTGAAAGTGCAGTACATAATCAGTGTAATGGAATTATGGAATTTGAGGCTGAGAGGATATTTGAGCCAGACATAGGTCTGTTAGATGGAGAGCCAGAATGAAGTTCAATATTACTGCTTTTTTTTTTTTTTTTCTGCTGGGCAATCATTTCTTTCCTCTGTCTCTGTAACCTTTAAAGCTAAGAAACTGGTTCATTTTTACTGACAACTTGATTTGCAGAGTTTCTGTTTGAATTTACAATGAGTAAAATGGCAATCATCAGCTCTTCTGGTGAGCATCCCTCTCGGTTTCCCTCAGGAAGACTCTGGGCAGCAGTACTTCAGTGAGATGTTTGTTTTGTCCCTTTCTTCTCTACACTGGAAGAGAAAAGCCAAAGCCTTGTCTAGGACTCACCTAAGGACTTCCTTTATATTTCTAACAGTCACAATGTTATCCCAGCTGCCTCTATCAGCACCTGTTCTGTGAGCAAATCCCCCTGTTTATAAAGTTACACTCAAAGGGGACATTAGCTCTGCCCAGAGTGCTGCTGACCGCTTGCTCTTCAGCAAGGCCTCTGTGGGCCATTCCATTTTCCTGTCCTCTTAGGAGGTATTGGTCTCTGTATTCTGAACAGAAACCAATGAGACAGCCTTTGCGCTTTTGCCTTTGCCCTGATAGTTTTGTGTGTGACCTTGGACAAGTAAATTATTGCTGTAAACTTGGGATAATAGTTCCAATGGAACTCTCATACAGGAACAAATGAACTCATATGTACATGGTACCTCCCCTTATGCTGTCCCCATGCACAATGGCTCTAGGCTTTGGGAGCAGCCATGTGGAGTGCAGAAACTTCTCATGTAAAATTGCCTGGACCTGGTGTCTTTCTTGCTTGCTTTGGTTCAGTTGTGTAGTTCTGAAGAAGTCAGACCAGCTTGATTGTCCTTCCTGCCTCTCGGTCATCATCATTCACTTGCTGTGAGAAGGCCTAGGGTTAATGTTTGTTTCAGAATACCCCAACATTGCTATAAAACGTCCTTATTTCTATAGAAATGTCTCATTTTTCTCATTGTTTTGAGAAGCAGACCTCTTCCTCATTAAGCATTCTAAGTCAAGCTGCCATTAGTATAGCTTCTTCAATGTCTTCTCCTCCAAGGAAACCCTTCCTTTTGGAAGCAATTCCCAGCCAATGGCCTGAGGGGAGAATGGTCTTTCCAGCAAGGCTGGGCCATTCAGCAGCCTATAACTGAGAGCATCTGGGATGCTCCTTCTGAAGGAACGGTTACTTCCCTCTGTTATTTCCAGAGTAACAGACTCTGGAAATGCTTCACCGGGACTGCCTAGCTTTCATGAATCCTTTACCTGTCCTCCAAAGCCAGCCTTTGGTGTAACCCCATTGCAGTATAAGAAATGCCTGTCTTCTCAGCATACCCTGACCTACAGCCAGCCACCTGCCACTCAGAGTCAAAAGGAGCAAAGTTGCAAGCTCTCATGGTCAGGATGGTGAAGACTTACGGAGAGTCTAGACTGTCCAACCATGTTACAAAAATGGGGCTTTCTCTTTGCCTCCACTATTAGAAATAGATTTTGAGGGAAAGGGGGTTGATGTTAGGAAACTAAGGAGAACTTTAAAACTACCAAGAAACTTCTAGAAAAGAATATACAATTAATTTCATTTTTATACCATATTATTTTTAGGAATATGGAGTCATTTTGGAGAAGAATGGTGGAGAGCAAGATTAATATTGTATAATAGAATGCCATTGATTATACTGGAAGAGCTTTATAATTAGAAATAAAAGAAATTTAAATAAATGAAAATATTTTAAGACCGCTCATTTAACAAAGCTATTTCTATGAGAGATAAAGAATGCCATTTGTTTTTGTCCACCGATTTAGGATAGTAAATGAACAGCTACAGCGGTCACTTGATGACTGTCAGCACCGGCTTTCCATAAAAAGAGGTGAACTTGAATCAGCCCAAGAAGAAATTAAAATTCTGGAGGAAAAACTAGGTGAGCCCTTTTGACATTTTGCTTTCAATAACCTTAATGCCCTCCATCTAACAAACATTCCTCTCTCTGTGTAGAGAAACTAAGCCATAAGATGACATCACAGAGCGAAGAAGCTCACGCGATGAAGAAGACCATTGGTGTGATTGACAAGGAAAAGGACTTTCTCCAGGAGACGGTCGATGAGAAGACAGAAAAGATCGCCAACCTGCAAGAAAGCCTTGCCAGTAAAGTATGTATCTGTCACACGTTCTCCGGCATCTCAGCACAAGAGACGGTATTCTCCACTTGAAACATGGAGTTCTTACACTCCGTGGGTAATTTCTGAGACCCATGGCTGTCTTTGACAGATCTAAATTTCCTTCTAGCAAGTAATTGGAATTTTTAAGATGGCGTCTGATATATTTCTAGAATATAATTTTTGTCTCATTAAGGAACACTTTAAGGAAACCACTTCAGTTCTTAGGTGGGTAGAAACATGCCCAGATGTGACATACAGATGGTTATAGAAGTGTGTTTACTTAGTGCTTGTTTTTATGTATGATTTATGTAATTGAAGTGTATATTTAACTACTTACTATCTAAATGTAGTAGATGACGCAAATTTAGCTAAGGATGATTCTGTGTGAATGATTTAGAATCTTTGTTTCTGTAATTTCTTCAGGAGAAAGCTATTGCCCAGATGAGGGCCACAGTCACAGAGTATGAAACATCTTTGAAGTAAGTAATCAATGAAAAGGCATTCCGTGTTTGAAAACAGTTCAGAGAATGGGGTCTTAACCTAGTTAGCAGTCTGGCAAGAGGAAACTATCTCATGTGTAGTTCCCGGTTTTGCCCATGATAACCTTGCTTTCTCAGTCCCCTGCTCTGACTTGCTCTCTGCCTCTGTTGTGTCCTATTGCCTATGTTTTTATCTACTTGCTCTTTGTGTTTATGTAGTCATCTGTTCAAGTCATCATCTCATCCTAGATTGCACTGATAGCCAGTTTTTGTACTTGTTCTTCAATTAAACCTATCCTGAGCACTCTAAAAATTTTACATTTTGTGTCTGGTCTCCAGAAAGAATTTAAGCCATCTAAAAACAAAAGTCACTAGCTATATTTATTTGACATGCCTTTATGTTTTATATAATAATGGAAATATAAACACTAAATATTTAATGTACTGTTATATTTTGTTCCTAATAGTTGAAAATGTTATGTTTGCTTAACATGTGGAATAATAATATTTATTTTTAGCTTATTTACATATAACAATTGATAGGAATCTAAAGTACCTGAGCATTTTTAATAAGTGTCCAAAGGCAGCAGCTATACTCTGTACTCATATTCTTATTGAGACTGCAATAGTCTTATTTTAAGTAAACTAGAGTTTTCTATAACACTTTATTATTGCCATACCACTCTTCCACAGCCAGCTAAAGGACACCTTGGCTAATCGAGACCGAGAGGTGAACAGCCTCCGCCGCCAGCTTGATGCGACTCACAAAGAGCTTGATGACGTTGGGAAGTCTAGAGACATCTCCTTTAAGGAAAACAGAAGGCTACAAGATGACCTGGCCACGATGGCAAGGGAAAATCAGGTGTGGCACCAGGCAGAGATTTCCATGGGACTTACTTGTTTGCTAAGTATTCGACTTCTAAGAATGGAAGCGGTGTAACTCCTTAAGAGGAACAGTGGCTGTCCAAGTGTTAGCAGCTGTCACAGGCCACCTAATCAGGGCAGCTGCAGTCTCCTCCATTTGGAGTTGAACTTTTTTCACACTGGGGTTTTTGAGTTTTTGTTTTGTTTTGTTGGTTTTTTGTTTTGACACAGGGTCACATATAGCCCAGGTGGGCCTTGAACTCCCTATGTAGCCAAGGCTTATCCTGATCCTCTTCTTTGGCCTCCCAAATGTGGGAATGGCAGGTATGTGTCACCAGGCATGATACCATTTGGTTTTGTTGCTAGAGAGCATAGCCTTCTCTGTGATATAAGTTATTGTCACAGCATTTGGTGAGGACAGCAGTATCACTCTTTTTTTTTTTTTTTTCTCTCTCTCTCTTTTTTTGGTTTTTTGAGACAGGGTTTCTCTGTATAGCTTTGGAGCCTATCCTGGCACTTGCTCTGGAGACCAGGCTGGCCTTGAACTCACAGAGATCCCCCTGCCTCTGCCTCCCGAGTGCTGGGATTAAACGCGTGCGCCACCAACTGCCAGCTCAGCAGCATCACTCTTAGGGCAACTTTTCTCTGTCTACAAAGGACCATGACAGGTTTTAGTAGTTTGTGCTTACTTCTATTGTCTTAGAGATACATCTGTGGTTAAGTAAAAGGATATTTTAAATGACAGACATTGTAAGGTGGTAGTTTTGTTTGTGCAGATGTATTACAGGATTATGCTCTGATGACCAATGATTTTTCTTATGTTTAGAAAAATTACTTTTAGTATTATTCAATATCAATCATAGTAGATATGTCATAGTAGATATTTTTAATGTGAATTACTGACCGTAACTGTCCCTGATGTAAAATCAAATGTGAGGATAAGAATGTCATGAGAACTTTGTGGAAAAGTTTGCTAAAAAGTCCAGATCAGGGATGGGGAGATGGCCCAGTGGGTAAGAGTGCTTGCTGTGAAATGAAAGTAAGAGGTTCTGAGTTCAAATGCGCTACAGCCACACAAAAGCCTGGCATGACTGTCGACCCAGAGTTGGGGGTCATAGACTAGCAGATCTCAGGAGCTTGTTGAAAGGCCTGTCTTGAGAGAATAGGGGAGAATGGTAAAGAAAGGCATCCTACTCTGCTTTCTGTCTGTGCACATGAGCTTGCACCCATACACAAGTGCACACCACACACACACACACACACACACACCAAGGTCACTCAGAAATACATCAAAATAACACAGTATTGGTTTTTCCCTTGTTTCTTCTTCAATTCCAAAGGATGTATTTGACATGACCAAAGCTTGATATTGGCTCTTTATGCTTGGCTGACTTTCAGGAAATCTCAATGGAACTGGAAGCAGCAATACAAGAGAAAGAAGAGATGAAGAGCAGGGTTCACAAGTACATCACTGAGGTGTCACGGTGGGAGAGCCTGATGGCTGCAAAGGTGAAAAACAGTGTTGGCTTGCATTGAAGACTGGCTCTCTAAGAACTCTCTTTTGTCTTTAATTCAATTCTGCCTCCAGTGTTAGATATTGGACACTTGAGATTTGATATTAGATATTAGACAGTAGAGAGTAGAGGTCTTTCCTACTAACTTTATATTTACCCCCCAAGGGTCTTAGTGTAGTGCTTGTACACATACTAATGTTTCCTAAGTTCAAGCAGTTCCATGTGTGTGTGTCTGTCTACCTGTCTGTCTGTCTGTCTATGTGTATGTTTGTATGTGTCTATGTGTCTGTCTGTCTGTGTGTATGTGTCTGTCTGTCTGTCTATGTGTATGTTTGTATGTGTCTATGTGTCTGTCTGTCTGTCTGTGTGTATGTGTCTGCTATACATGTGTGTGTGTGTCTATCTATCTGTATCTGTGTGGGTCTGTCTGTGTATGTGTTTATGATATAGTCATTCCATTGACAGTAAGTACTGACTTAGAAATAATGTAATTGTTCTTAAACCAGGAAAATGAAAACAAAGACTTACTAGACAGATTCCAGATGCTTCACAGCCGTGCTGAGGACTGGGAAATCAAAGCCCAGCAAGCTGAAGGGGAGAGTAGCTCGGTCCGCCTGGAGCTGCTGTCCATAGACACAGAGAGAAGACACCTGCGAGAGCGAGTGGAGCTCCTAGAAAAGGAAATCCAGGAGGTAATGCTCCACTGTCTAGTGAAGAAACCACTCAGTAAATGACATACTTAGAGGCATGAGATGTCCCCGCAGTGTGGGAAGGAAGCCTCATTATGAGGGAGCGTGCAGACAGAACTACCAAGCAAAGGAACCAGAACTTAGTGGCTTTCAGAGGTATTTCAGTGTGTCCACATCATACCCTGAGGCAGCCAGTAGTATGACTAGATAAGCTGAGGTTGGAAGCCATGGGTCCAGCCAGCCATCTTGGCAGAGACTGACAATTTTAATCAAATGGGACAGACATGAAGCGAAGGGAAGAAAGGTTGTTGGGCCTCTGGGGTCTTACTAAGTGAAGATGGGTCACTGTGGCTACTTGTCTTGTAATGGCTAGTCACTTTTAAGAAAAGGGGAAAATAACATTTTATTTGTTTTGTTTTTTGAGACAGGGTCTCTCTGTAGCTTTGGAGCCTGTCCTGGAACTCATACTGTAGACCAGGCTGGCCTCAAACTTACAGAGATCCACCTCTCTGTCTCCTGAGTGCTTGGATTAAAGGCGTGTGCCACCACTGCCCAGCTGATAATGACTTTTAAAAGTGGCTCAGAAGCCACAGTGAAGCTCCATGCTTGATTCCAGACTTACCTTGGACTAGGGCTATGGTTTTCATCTTACACATTTCCTAAAGACCTGGGGGCTAAAGACTTGGTCACCAGCCTGCGATGTTCCTGCAAGGGGTTGGAATCTTCAGGAAGTGGAGTGTCACTGAGGAAGTTAGTTTGCTGGGTGTATCTCTGAGGGATAAGCTATTGGGACCTTGGTCCTTTCTTAGCTCTCTTTCCCTTTCCTGGATGCAATGGGGTGACTGGACTTTTTGGCCACACATTCCTGTCATGATGAACTTACTACCTCATCTCAACCCCAAAGCAATGAGGCCAAGTGCCCATGGGCCGAAATCTCTAAACTGAGAGCCTAAAGACAATCTTCCTTCCAAATGCTTCTGCAGTATTTTGTCACAGTGAGTGACATTTGACTAACACAACTGCAACCCACCTTCATTCCTCCTCCTCTCCTGTGCAGAATGGAGCCGACTGCTCTGTGTCCAACACAGTCTTGTATTTTGGAAGCATATAACTTGTTTTCTGGTATTAGAGGCTAGGAGATAGAGAAAAATGTCACCCCCAAGTGCACCAGAGTCATATTTATATCTAATTTAGATGATGCCTAAATGAGATGAGAGTGATGCTGTTATTGGATGGAGGGCCAGTGAACTGGTACATTGGGTAAAAGGACTTGCCATAAATCCAGATGGCTTGAGTTTTAGCACTCAATCCCATGTGATAGGAAGACACAGCCGACCATGCAAGTTGTTCTTTGTTCTCCACATACATACCTCCACCCCACAGTAAACACACACTCAAAAAAATTAAGCCTATTAAATAAGAGAATTTTAGACACAGCAGAGGTGTTTTGTGCTAGAGAAGGACCTAAACTTTGGAGGGCTTCAGATAGAACCAAGACTGCTGAAAAATCACCCTGAATGCCTAACTACTTATGAACATGACCTTGTTGACAGTGTTATTTTTGCAGATATGGTTAAGATTAGATTGTGCTTGCTAAGGTGGACCATGAACATCCCACGTCTCTCTAAGATGAGGAAAATGTGTGACATGGGAGAACACTGTGAAATTGGAGGAGGTAGAGATGGTCCACAAGGAAAACAAAAAGCCACAAACACCATAGAATTGTCTGCTTCAGAGTCTCCAGAAGGAGCTAGCCCTGAAAACTTAACATCTGGATTTGCAGGGCTAGAGCAATGGCTCAGCAGTTAAGAGCTCTGGCTGCCCTTTTAGAGAACTTGGGTTTGATGTCTGTTGGCTCACAACAGTGGGTAACTCCAGTTTTAAGGGAATCTGATGCCCTCTTCTGGTGTCTATGGGCACTGCATGCACATGGTATACAGACTTGCAGGCAAAATACCCATAACACGTAAAGTTTTTTGTTTTGTTTTGTTTTTAAAAAAAAGTCTTTAAAAACAAAAAGGAATAATGGCCTGCCATCTCCAGATCTGAAGGGGATTAGTGACTTTTCTGTTGCTGTAATAAAACACCATGACCAAAAGGAACTTATGGAAGAAAGTTTTTGCTTTCCAGATCCAGGAGAATCCATAACAGGGGTCAAGGGAGGCCTGGCAGCAGGAGGCTAGAACAGGATGCTGAAGTCATACCGTTAGCCACACATAGAAAGCAAAGAGTAAGCAGGGAGTGGGCAAGACTATAAACTCTCAAGGCCCATCATCCCCAGTGATGCCCTTTCTCTAGCAAGCCTCCTTGTCCCAAAATTTCCATAGTCTCCCCAAGAGCGCCACCAACTGGAGACCAGGACCAACTACATGAGCCTATGAGGGACACAAGATCAAAGCACCACCATTTGCAGAGTCTGTAATGGCAGCCCTCCACACTAATATAACAACTACAAATTTTTTATTAAAGAAATGATTCTCTGCTTTTAGTAGCTTCTCAGGGACGAGCCCTTCATTTTTTATTCTTTATTATTGCTAATATTCTTATGTGATATGTAAAATGGGTTCTTATGGGTTTGTTTTGTTTTGTTTTTGTAGTGCAGAGGCTGGAACTCTCGTGGGCCTTCTGCATACTAGGACAGTGACCTACCTGTGAACCACACTGCTAGTCTGGCTTCGTGTGCTTATGTTTAATTTGCTTCTGTTTGCTCAGGATACTAATATTAGAAAATTCAAGTGTTTATTTTTCTATAGCTATGATATCTAATAATCTTCATTGCACAATATTGGCTTTTAATTGATTTCTGTGAACTTTGCTAACATCATTAGCTTTTTAAGAGTGGCTGTCTTCCTGAAACAACAAAGTAGAGTTTATATAAATTCATAATTATTGCATAAAATTAAATGATAAGAAATTTAAAATGTCGATTATTTTAGAAAAGTCTTATCAGTATTTCAATTTTTGTTCCTTATTTCAAAATTACTAAAATCTTATAAAGTTGGCCAATGAAACTAGACTAAATTTAAATATAAATTCAGATATTTAGTATTAAAATAAACTAGTTTTAAAGTTTAGAATTTAAAAGAATGATTTGGAAATATATACAAATAAATAAAATGTTACTATTTTATGAGAAAATACTATTATAAAGGGGATGTTTTTGAAGAAAAACTTTTAAAATCATATTCACACTATCTTAGCATAATTTTCATCTTTGTATTTTCTAAATGAATACATGAGATATTTAATCATTATGATTAATAATTATATGTTCTTCCTTTTGTGCATTAGGTAGGCCATCTTAAAATAGCACGTTTCTTCCTAAGAATGTTTTAGCATATGTAAAAATTGGCACTTGTTTTTCTGAAGTATGTTTATGTCTACACAAGTAGCTGTCTTAGAAGGCTTGCACTTGAAGTGACTGGATCCCATCTCTTCATGCTTTGCTTTCTTTACTCAGCACATAAACGCACATCATGCTTACGAGTCTCAGATCTCATCAATGGTAAAAGCCATGGCTCGGTTAGAAGAAGAGCTTCGACATATTGAAAACGAGAAGGCAGCAGTGTTAAACGATCTGTCATCTCTCCGAGAACTTTGCATTAAGCTTGACTCAGGCAAAGACCTCATGACCCAACAGCTGAATTCCAAAAGCCTTGAGCTGGAGAAGGTAGGTGCTGAGAGAGTGTTGGGCACATTGCTTGGTGGAACCCTTCTGGCAAGCTTTTACTTTACATTCCCCTTTCAAGTGTTCTCTGTTAGATCGTTTTGACAGCAAGGTTTTGATAACTGGATCCGACTACAGATTCTCTGCCAAGATTTGTCAGTGAAGCATAAGGATGACCTGGAATGTTGTTCAGTGCAGAGTCCTGGCATTCATGCCTGACGCTCTGGGTTTGGTCCCAGTGCTGTAAGAAAATGAAGAGGATAAAATTGGGTTTGGAATAGATGGCACTTGACATATTAGGCATTTTCAAACTGTAGATCAGGAACATACATTCTTTTTCTGTCTAAAAGTAAAATTTGATTGGAAGATTCAACAGTTTGTTTTTTTCTAAGTTGAATTTTTCTTGCTCAAGACATTTAAATTATTAACTAAATCACCTTTACTGGACTTCCCCATTCCCAAATTGAGACATGACTTTGAACAAGCTGGCGTGTGCTCTCACAGGAGTATGTCTTTAAGGTTTACTTGCCAGTCCGTGTACTGAGAAGTAACAATACTTGCTTGATTGTGTGGTCAAAGAGTAACCTACTGCATAGACCAGAGAACCTCATTAGCTGAGGGTCCTTTCTTATGACTAAAGAAATGTTTTGAAGTCTTTAACCAGTACTCAAAAGTGAAACAATTAATGTCAATCACTATTATATTGTAAAATAAATAATTTTCAGACTAAGCCTAAGTTTTTACTAAATTTGTTTTTCCTATAGGCAACAGCAGAATTAGAAAATATAAAATCAGAATCAGAACTATTTAAAAAACAACTGACAAGTGAGAGGCAGACAATTAAAAATCTTGAATCGTTGTTAGCTACGAACAGAGATAAAGAATTTCATTCCCATCTGACCTCCCATGAGAAGGACACAGAAATCCAGCTGCTGAAGGAGAAGTTAAACCTCTCAGAAAGCAAACTGTAAGTGTCATGGAGCAACCTGTGTGGGGAAGTGCTGACCACACATACTCTTTCACCTTCTGTGGTAGCAAGGACACTGTGTGTGTGTGGGAGGGGGGGAGGCGGGGAGTGATAGAAAATCAAGGTACCTGGCTTTCTTGCCTGGGCTTCCCAACATCCCAGGAATGAAGCTGTAGGTGTGTATGTCTTCCCCACCCCCAGGTAGCACCCTGGGAGTGGTAGGGGAGAGAGCTTCAGGGAAGAACCTGGATTTGAGGAGTGAACAGAGGCTTGGGGGGAGGGGGGGTATCAAGACGAGCTGTGTTGTAGATGGACAAAGGCTTATAGTAGGTGACATCTGGTCCTCATAAGTGTTTGTGTTTGTCACCATGGAAGAGACTAAAGCTGTTGTGATCCTAGAAGAGAAGAGCCTGGACTAGAGAGTGTGCAGAAGAATGGGCTTTTTACAGCGTTTAGGGAGTGGAAAACAGTGTTCTTCCAGGGGCAAGGGGGGGGGGAGCCGATGAAGATGTTTTACATCTTTGTTCTAGTTCATGTTCTGCTGCATGAGCAGCACACACCACCAGCTCCATGACTGATGGGAAACCAAAAGAATGCTGAAGAAGCCCAAATTTGAGAGGGCCACTGTTGAAAAGCCAGATCCTTGTCTGTTCTTAAGCAGCGCCTCTGTTTGTATTTGCTCTGATCCTCCAAAAGAGATCGTTCATTTCTGATCCTGAGAGCTTTACCTTTGTTTTTAAGAGCTAGCCAGAGCCGAGAAACCTCCATGCTACGAGCTAAAGTGACACAGTTGCAGGCAGATTATGACAATCTGAAAAGGCAGATTTCAAGTGAGAGATATGAACGGTAAGACATTTCTGTTTAACACTAAACAGTATTCCTACATATCTTCTATCCTATTCAAAGAGTATTTAATGTGGCTTGCAAATATCGAGCTTCTTTAGTATTAAGATGTAAAATTTTATGGATAATTCTCCTGTAGAGCAAAAGATTCTGTAAGAGACAGAATCCCTGTAATAAGGAAAATAACACTGCTATAGAACTGCTTCTTGGAGCATTCTGCAGGGTGACAGTGAGGTATAGACGGGGAGATAGCAAAGGTCCCTGAAAGAGCCCCCCAATTAGAGTGCATTAGGAAGTTCTGAATGCATATCATGAGATGATGATGGTGATTGTATCCTAGGAGCAGCTAGCAGGTGTGAGCCCTACACACAGCACATGTCTGATTATCCCAGTCTCTTATGCCTGCATGATGGGAAACCAGGGTCACACTTGGACATGACAGAGCCACTGTGAAAATACTAACATACCTGTTCATGCCCTTAACTTATATAATATATTCTCTGTTCCTTAGTCATTTTCATGCTCATCATTCAGTTCATTTGCTTTATGTTAAAACATTGAGTCCCTAAATATTTCAGAGACGAGACCTGCTTTAACAGATAAACAACACTAGATACAGGAGGCTGAGTCAGAGGGATCAGGAGCTTAAGGCCAGCCTGGGAGACCAGTGTCCAGAAAGAAATGAATTAAAATCAAAGTCTAATTTGCTTTTTCTTAGACACCATAGATTTGTTCTCAAGTAGGCTAAAATTGCCTATTAGATTGTTTGAAAAATTTTAATCCTCCATTTGCATCAAACTTGAGTGATAGGCTGTGTGAAGTCTCAGGCACAATCACCCAACCTCAAAACATGCTTTTTGTGGGTGGGAAGAGGCAGCAGAATAATCTAGTAACTCCAGTGCTTAATCCCTCAGAGGCCGCAGGACACTAGCAGGGTCCTGCATGTTCATTCGTCTTCTGGAACTTTCTTTGACAGGGTAATATTGAGAAAAGGAAGGGTTTGAGGAACTGTGCTAGGAAGGAAAGTTGTACTGAGTAACTCAAGAAAAGGCCTGCACCAGAGACTAGGGAGCCACAGAGGAAACAGTGGGCACTGGCAGATTCCAGGCAACAGGAAAGAATGTATGATGGAGAAAATGGGCTCTCTTGTCTCTGATGTTTGGGAGATTCAAGCACAGAGAAGGCTAGAGTTATGTATAAAGAGAGATGAGAAAGGAAGGGACAGAGGAAGGAAGCGTCCAAAATGGAAGCTCTGTACTCAGCCTGGGCCTGCAGTGACAAGTTAGTGACATAAGAATGATACGTGATTTTTTTAAAGAACTGCCCTTGAGTTGATACATGCATGCACACACGTACACTCGAGAATGAATGTAAATAGCATGTGCCAGGCATGACAGTGCATACCTGTAATCCTCACACTCAGAAGGCTGAGGCAGGAAAATAGTGAGCTTGAGGCCAGCTTGCCCTATATAGCAAAATCCTATCTCAAGAAGCCAATCAGAAATGTATAACTGCAGGGGTAGAGGCAAGTGTAGCATGGTATTGACTGACTTATTGGAGGATGAATTTCCCTCAGCTGAAATCAGTAACTTTGTAAACCATGCCCGGAGAACAGCACTGGTGTGAGAATAGGGAGAAACAGAGGTCCAATACAGAACCAAGACTTGGCTGTGAGGTTAGAAAGGGAACCAGGAAGGGACAAGTGAAACTGAGAGGCTTAACTCTACCAAATGCCACAGAAGGCGTCCAAAAGACAAGGGAACTGCCTGTTAACAGAACACTCGAGAAATATTCTTAAATTTATTTTTAAAACAGAGCAAAAAGCAAGCTCTCACAGAATCACTATTAATATTTTTAATTTAGCATCTAGTTGTATACTGGTTTTTGGTTTTGTTTGCTTTGGTTTGCTTTTTGAGACAAGGTCTCTCTCCTACTGCCTCTGTCTCCCAAGTGCTAGCTTTATAGGCTTGTACCACCCTGACTGGCTTATGGGGATTTGTATGTTTCTGAATGTATACTTGGTATCCTATTTTTTTACTAGATATATTGTGATCATTATGTTTCAGATATACTATTTTGTTGATGTTCTAATGTTATGACTTGCTTTGAACAATTTCTTCTAATGCATATTCTTTTAATTGAAATATTTTATATACTCCTAAAAAAAAAACAAAAAAAAACCTGAAAATCAGGGCTGGAGAGATGGCCCAATGGTTTAGAGCACTGCCTGCTTATCCAAAGGACCCAGTACCTACATAGTGGCTCAGAGTCATCTGTAACTAACCCTCTT